TATCACAGACTGACCAGGGACGTCGGTGGTTAATACATCTTTGGCTTCATAACTAAGCTAGTTCCCACCGTGTACATAAAGTTTGTTTCTGAAGAAAATCTTTGAAATCGTGGAGTCTTGGAGGGGAAAATGAATAATAGAACCATTACTGATGAAGAGATCGGGAACTGCTAAGGGGGCCAGCATCACTGTGGTCCAGCCTCCAATGCAAAATAAATAGGGATTTTTCAGTCCTTTCAGATTAACTTTCGTTTTAATGATTTTTGCAGTACATTTTATGTTCCCAAAGCCTTGCTCAAAGGTTATGTGTAACGTGGCTTGTTGTTTTGCAATCTGGATGCTGGGGAGAAGCAGATTTGGAAGTAAAAGATATTTAATTGAATTGCCTTTTGTTTTGACAGATGTTTTATACAGTACTTTGTCTGTTAAGAACAAGATGTTCCAATAAATATTGGATAAGTGGGAGAGAAAATTTATTGCAAGGCCATAAATCAATTGGCAAGAGGTCATAAACTGCAAGATTGGTGCTCAAAGCATTTATTAGATTATCAGAATCGAAGATTGATCTGTAGCTTTATCTACCTTCCTTTATCCATCATTTTTATGGGACATGAAAAAGAGTTATAAAGGACAAATTGCATTTAAAAAATTAAAATACAGGTTTTAGACAAAGCAGTATGCCAGGATATGGAACTAGATTAAAATCAGTGATAAATCAAGAAAGACCCCCAAAATAGAAATATTTTTGTCACTTGGTAGGAGATAATTGCCAGTTTATTAGGGATAAAATACTAAGATAAGAGAAATCATGGAAGTTTTAAAATACAGAGGAGACTAGAGATTGTCTCATCTGATCCCCCGTTGTCTTACAAAGAAACCAAGGTCCCCGAGGTTAAGTGACTTCTACAATAACACAACCAGCTAATGGCGTCAAAGACCTTATTTTGCTAAAGATAATGCAGAAGGTTTTGTGATTGTTTTTTCTTTTTGGAAGAAAATATTTTTATTAATAGAGAGGTAAACAATTTTAACTTAAGACACTTACACACCATAAACTCCTGGAGGACAAAACCTGATTCTCATTTTTACTACATATTTCTTAAATACTGGTCTGTAGACTTCAGAAAGTATTGGAAACCCTTCTGTATACCTACAGTATATGTTTCACACACCTGCCCTCAAGTGTGGGCAATGCACTGGTGGCCCCACTGACACGACCACACGCCTCAGCGTCCACATGCTGCAGATGAGGCAAGGGAGACACAAACCAAGCATGTGGGGTTGGGAAACACACTCTGCCCAAGGCCTGTTTTCTTTTGGGCCAGGAAGTAAGTGTCCCTTCCTTCCTCAAGAGACAGGGCTAGGCTAGGGTGAGACCAGTGAAGGAGTAGGGCGTAAAATTTAAGGAGGCACTCACTCTCAGGGTTGTGCAAGTTAAGGGTCAGTACTTGCAAAACCCTGAAAGTGAATGCCTCTTTAAATTGTATGCCCTAGCACCTGCCTTGCCAGGCAGAGATTTGCCCAAAGCAAGGGACGGCCTAAAGGAGGAGGGTGCACTGAGGACCCAACTTCCCAACAATCAGGTCGTAAGTGCCTCTATGCCCCGCCATCAGACCCTGGAGACCCATGTGCTGAGGGGACCAGAAGGTGAACAAGACAAGGTGTCAGCCCTGGAGACGCTGTCAGTCAAATCAAGGAGAAAGATGTGCAACATCTCAAAACGCGAGGAATGAACTCAAGAACTCCAACCTGTTCATTAATCTCAAACAAAATGCTGTGAAGACGCAGAGTTAAAATTGAAGAAGATATATTGGAAGTGGTGGCGTTTAAGCGTCATTGAGAAGTATGAATGTGGTATTTATAAGAGAAGGAGGCCAAGTGGGAACATCAGTTCTGCCCATTCACTGGATTCTACTCTGGGAGGGGTGGTGATGCCAAGCCTGAGGGACAGGCTTGAAGTCTGGCTTCTTCCAGATGGAAGGTTCTACCAATCTCAAGTGGTCTGCACACTGGGGTTCTGAATACAGAGTTGTCAGATGGAATGCAGCATATTCCATTAAATTTGAATTTCAAAGAAGCGACAAATAAATTTTAGCATGAGTATGTCACATATATTTCATGGAACATCAGGCTAAGAAAATATTTGTTGTTTACCTGAAGTTCAAATTTAACTGGATGTCCTGTATTTTTATTTGCTAAATCCAGCAACTCTATCTGAATAGAACTGGTGAAATAATGAACAGGGGTGGAAGGGATGAAGGGTAACTGAGGGAGGAGCCCAAGGAGCTTCCTAGAGAGACCCAGACTATCACATTGCAGGGTCTCTGCTATAAAAGGAAAGTGGTAGAAATATTCCTGGCACTGGAGGATAATTCAGAGCAGTGGTTCTCAATCCAGGATGCACAATTAGAATCTCCCAGGAGAGCTGTTAAAACCATCAGTGCTTCAGTCCATCCTCAGATACTCTGATTTCATCGGTTTCGGTTGGTGTGGCCTAGGTATTAGCATTTTTAAAAAGCTCCCTGGGTGGTTTTAATGTCAAACAGGGTTGAGAACCACTCTGGAAACCACTAAGTCCAGTCCTTTGAGTAAGAGGGTCAGAGAGAGCTGGGTTTAAGATCCAACTCTATGGCTTCCTGGCTGTGTGACCGAAGATATGCCTGTTTCACCATCTGTAAAACAGGGATAAAAATTGTTCCTACATTATAAGATTGTTGCATAGATTGCTTCAGACTTCCAGTTAAACACTACAGATTGAGTACATGCATTTAAATCCATTCTATCCTGAAACCTTACTAAATTGATAGTAGAAGAGTAAAAGTTATACCAACCCATGCACCTACCCACCTACAAGAGTAGAGAAAGCTGATACATAACTGTCTGTATAGAGGTATAAACCAATAAACAGTGAGCCAGTCTACACCACTGAACCCCAAAGAGGTTCAGGAATGGAGGCAGTGGGATTCTCTGCAAGTCAATTGGAGAAGTGGGCTAAAAACCAGAGGATTCATGGATGATGCGCATAGGGAGTGGACAGACCCCTAGACCCCTTCCTCCAACCACTGCAAGTGAAGGTCACCCTTCTAGAGAGAGAGACCAGAGAGAGATAGGCTCAAGGACACTCAGTGGACACTGAAGGACACTCGAGGATGCATAGTGAAGGTGGGGTGGGGCAATTTATTAAAAATAGGGGGACGGAGTGAAAGATAGCAGGCTGAAAGGCAAGAATCCCAGTACTCTCCCCTGTATGCTGGCAGCCAGGGGCACACCCCAAAGGCAGAAGACTTTCTGAAGAACCTGGTCAGCATGAGAGAAAGACAGGCAGATGCTGCCAGTTGGGGGTCTCCCAAAGAAAGGCTGGGTGCCTCCATCACACTAGGCCTGCACAGGACCTCCCTCAACACTTGAGCAATTCAGTAAAGAATGAGGATAGAAGAGATCAGAAGGGACCCTCCTATGTGATAGAGAAGCCAACAGCAAATAGAAAACAAAAAGCCACTTGAAAGAAACAGAGAGAACTCAAGGAGCAGAATAAAACGAAAAAGAAAACTATAATGAATATGAATAAGAATATAAAAATAACCATCCGAGAGATCCAACATCTGACTACTAGAAGTTCCAGAATGAGAAGATAAAATGGAAAGGGGTAAATTATCAAACAACTAATACAAGAACTTCTTGCAGTAATCAAGACAGGCTTTTCCATATCAAACAAGTCCAACCAGTAGCAACTCTCCCCACACTTCCATAAAAAAATAAATAAGGGCTGACATCAATGCACACCATCATGGAACTTCAAGATCCTAGTGATTAAAAAAAGGCTCTAAAAGTTGAGAGGAGGAGAGAGAGAGCAAGAGCGAGAGAGAGAGGTCACATATGAAGGATTTAGGATCAGAATGCCATCAAATTTCTCAGGAGCTGGAAGCTAAAAGACAGTAGAGTCATCAATGCCTTCAAACCCTAAGGGGAAATGATTTCCTGCTTAGAATCCTATACCCAGTCAAACTATGAATTAAGAATAAGGGTAGAATAAAACCATCAGGCGTGCAGGTTATCAAAAACGTGCCTCCTGTGCTGACTTTTTGCTGCTTCCATATTTGATGGAAGATGTTTTCCATCAAAACTGGAGAAAAAAAACAAGAAAGACAAAGACTCTGGATCCAGAAAACAGATCATATACAAACAAGAGTGAGGTAAAGGGAATTCCAGGATGAGAGGGAAGGGAAGCCTCAGGACAAGAGCATGTGCGGACCAAGAGACCAGCCGGCCCACAGAGGAGGAGGGTCGAGGCCTCAAGCAGGAGAGGTTCTCAAGGAAGGGGACTGAGGTTTATTTGATTTCTTTGACAACATGGAGAGGAGTTTTATGCTTCTGTTGGAAAGTTTGAGGCTTCCTTTTCCAGGCTCATAGAAAATCAGGCAAACAACAAAGTGATTATGAATTCCAAAGCAAACTCAAGCCATATAAGTAAGGACATATAATCTGACAATACTTTGGAAATATTGTCAATAGAAAATATTGTTTATAATCCTTATATTGTAAACACTGAATATTCAATCAAATATTGGGAGGATGAGAGGAATGGAAATGTGAGAGTGTAGACGGGGTATAGGAGCTAAACCATACTCTTCCAGCAGTAGATAATATCTATTTTAAAAATGAAACAATAGCACCATGAGCATGTTATTTGGAAATCTGGAGATAAATAACTGAGAAGCAAGTAGAGAGGTTGCTTTAGGGATGGGGCTGGAAAAGGGATTGCTATTTTTCATTATAAACCTTCTAGTTCTATGTGACTTTTCATATTATATACGTGTATTTCTTTAATGTGGCTCCTAATACAATGCTTTGTATTGAATAAGATCTCAAGGAATGTTGGCTACGATTATCACATCCTAGATTTAAAACTGGACAAATGGAGACATTGTGGCTGGTCTAAAGCTTTCTCCTCCCAAAATTACCAGAGCAGAACTAGGACCTCTTAATCAAAGCATTTGAAAAGGGCAGCCTCTGTGCCAGACCCAGCCCGTGAGTGTGCAGTCTAGTCAGGGGAGGAGGAACAAGAGTGTACATAACTATTTCACGAAGTGTGCTCTGATAAGCACCAGGTAACAAGCTTCCAATAGTTATTTAGCCAGCCTCTAATGAAGACGGCCTTCTGCGTGTCACACTCTTAATGCCAGAGTGGGTCATAAATATTGAGGACGATCCCTGGCAGATACTAACTTTTAATGCATGAGAGTTTAGGCTCTCTGGAGGTAATATATGCCATTCATCACATTTCCCTTCTTTATTTTCAACTTTTAGGGGAAAGCCTGTATTCGTGTGATAAAATGCACAAGAGCAATCAACAGGACCATCCAAGTAGCTTTGGTCACTGACTACATAGCTATTTTTACTTCGGTCGAGTTTTTCCTAAAGTTTAACTTTCTTGAAGCATTATCAGCACGTGTCCTTCTGGCCTCTTCCTGACTAACTGATGGCCAAACCACTCCAAACGATCGAAGAAGTTTGGTAAGAAGAGCCAGGGGATCCCTCTTCCCCGGTTACTACCACTGGCGTCCTTCACTGGGCCGGCCATGCTGAGCCAGTTCACGCAATAACAGTGCTGAGGGCTGTAAAAGAGTCTTTCCTGAAAATAAAATAATAAAAAAATCAAGCTCAGCTGGAGTCTGATTTAATAGTATCTGGCAAGCTAACTATATTATTTTTGAACACACAGACATAAATTTGATATGAATAATAAAACTGAAGTATAACATGGGCAGAGGAAATATAAAATTCACCTAATCTTCAAAAGAAATTCTATACTTGAATAATTAACTATGCTCTATTTATAAAACTAGAATAATTGAAAACAGGATTTTCAGTTGATTCATATAGCCTCTGAAATATTTATTATTGCAAGTCGAAAAGATCTGTCTGGGGTTTGTCACTGAAAATGTCTAAACTCAGTGTCCAGATGTTTATTTAAGTTGCTCCCACAGAGTTCTAATGTCAATAACAGGGGTTATCAGAGAGCATCGCTGTGTATCTTCCTTGACTAATATTCTCATTTTTTCTGCATCTTTGATGTTTTCTTTCATTAAAATTCCTGGCCCATATCCACAAAAATCTGCTGAGCTTGCATTAAAAATTAGTCTGCAGACTTGACATATGAGGATGCCCTACGTCTCCACAAAGATAATATTTATCAGCAGCTATCACTTAGGCATTACAGTCAGCAGCATAGAGTCAATTCAGAGAATAAAAAAGAATACGGAATCCAGATTTTAGAATGCCTAACTTGCAAATTCTAACTTCTTGCCTATTCTTTTTTCCTAATGTCAGATAAGGCAAAGTTAGAACAAGCGATAGGATTTCTCAGCATGAGCCCGTGTGCATTCCCTTCCCCTCCCTCACTCTCGTATACCCTGCCTCCTTTTGTAAACCTAAAGTAAGATGACTTTAAAATAAAGGAAACCAGGCTCTCTGTCAAAACTCACTTCCTAAAGTTTCTGCAGAATAAGACACCTGGGAGAACATTTTAAAGACACACGATGTCCTTCCCCTTCGTGTGAAAGTGGCGGAAGACGAAATGAGTACATTTTTGAGCTGACCAGATGACCAGATGGGGATTTTGTTTTTAATCCGCTGTACAAAAGAAATACGTACTAAAAGTGCCTCCTTCCCAAAACTAACCGAATTTTACCCAAATTGTCAACGCACCTAGAAACCAAAGAAAGCACCAATGAGTAAATAAAGTTTCCATGAACATTCCAAAGAAGTCTTGTGCATCTGAAGCCTGGTCCATCCTCTGAGCTAGGATCTGCCGGGCAGTTAGGATCACCACAAGGTCAACACCACTTACCCTCTACTGTTCATATATTAATGTAAAGAATTAAATCTGATTTGAACTCCAGTACAATGTGAAGAAAAAATTTGGCACTGATGTGAAAAACCACTAACGATACTAAACAGTGCCCTCTGGAAGGAAGGAAGTCACTCCTGGGAACTGTGTACAGATTAATTAGAAAGTGCTATCTACAGAAAAATCTCCACCTCCACTGTTTATTTGATTAAATCATAAGATTCATAAACTCATGTGATACAGCCCGAGAGGTAACTTCCTTGCACCAAGTAAGCACTCAATGAATGTTTATTGGCTTTTCAATGAACATCTAGGCTAACATTTCTATATTAATAGGTATCACATAAAATCGGATCTCCAGGCAAATACATCTGGGAAACGCTGAGTTAAATAAAGTTAAACAGGCTTTTTACTCTAGGACCTCTCGAAACCTTTAATATGTTAAGGTGATTTTGAATTCCCACGGGATGGTGAGTGAAGGGCAGCAAAGATTGGGCTGCATTTCCTAAACTCATTTTTCTCAGGATTTCTGTTTTAAGAGAAACACTTTGGGAGATGTTGACCAGGTCCAACACCTTCATTTTAGAAACTGGACAATTCAAATCTTAACAAGTTAAGCGACTTGGCCAAGCACTCAACTTGTTCATAGCAAAGGAGGAAGCTCCATGCTCCCACTCCTGTCTCCCCACCTTCCCCACCCCTGCCACCCCATATGTCTTGATATAAGAGCCCAGGACTCTTCCACAGAGCACTTTTATTACTCTCTTGCTAATACATTTATTTTTGCTTCAAGTGGAGCCCAAAGGGAACACCCTTTTAAACCCGAGAGTTGAGATAACACAGCATTACCTGGTGATACGCTGTAATAATTTCATCAAGATGTGGTCTCTTTCGAGCGGAGGAGAGTGAAAGGTAGTTTTGGAGGACGAGTGAGTAGAATTCATGCTTCCATACCACCCTTCCATGACCCTTCTTACCTTTGTAATTATTCGTATTCCTCACTAGACTATGAACTGCAAAAGGTCAAGGAATCAGCCCTGTGTTCTCTTTCAGTGCCTGGAATGTAATAGGTGTCAGTGAATATCAGTTGAATAAGTGAATGAATGACTGGCCAGTCAAACAAACCATCTAGCTGTTTGCTGTCTTAAAGAACTTCTCAGCTCTTCGAAGGAAAGAATGACCAAACCCCCTTCTGCCCACCAGCACAGGAAGACACAAAGAGAAATCTGTTTCCCGAGAAGATCCAGGCTGGGGCAAAGGAGCTGACAGGGGAGGCCAAGCAGGATGATCGCCCAGCAGCCTCACGAGATGGCATTTAGCTTGGCAGTTTCACAGAAAGAGTCACCAAAACAGTGTGGCCAGTAACCAGTTAGATCAAAGTCAGCAAACTGGTTTATTTCTTGTATCATTGATACTTTTAAAATATAGAATTTGGTTGGAGGAGGGGAGCACATCACAGGGATATGTATGTATCTAAAGCCAACAGTAACAGGAATCTGTGGCAAGTTACCTTGTTGGGAAGTTAACTACCTGAAAATCTGGAAATGTGTGACAACTGTATTTGGAACAATTTTTTTTTTTTTTTTTTGAGGAAGATTAGCCATGAGCTAACATCTGTGTCCACCTTCCTCTATTTTATATGTGAGACTCCTGCCACAGCATGACTTGATAAGCAGTGCACTGGTCCAAACCCAGGATGCAAACCAGTGAGCCCCAGGCCACTGCAGTGGAGAGCATGAAGTTAACCGCTCTGCTGGGCCAGTCCCTTGGAACAATCTTTTTAAGTGTGTAATTTAGGTCAAGCCCTCTAGTGGTAAAAGCCCACAGTGTTGTTCCTAAAGTGCCCTCTGTGTGGGGAAGTTTGCATATGGAAATTTTTGGATAGCCACTGCTCATTTGTAGTCCCAGACTGTGTCAATGTGAATTTTATCTCGAATTTTTGAATAGAGGAGAAAATTCCTTTTAACATTAATAACTTGTATAATGCTTCTATATGCAAATTCTTCTGGAAAGAAATGCACGGGTCAAATTGAAGAGCGCTCTGTTAGGGTGCTGGACATGCCAAGCCAAAATTCTCGAAAAATAGATGTGGTTAAGAGCATTTCAGCAATCTATATATCATCTATGCTAGTCTCAAGTAAGTGACCGTTTTCTAAGGGTAAGAGCTTTTTCTTTCTTTCTTTTTAAGAATTCGTATAATGTGAAGGGAGCAGTAACACACAATCACACGCCCCCAAACTCAACCCAGGTATGTGTTTCTGGGATCCAGAGAGGGGGCAGTTCCAAGAGAAGGAATGTGGCAGGACCTCTGATGAAAAAACCCATCTGGGACTTGAGAAATCTGGATTCAATTCTTGGCTCCATCTCCAGCTCACCACATAATTAAGAGGGCAAATCGGCTAATCTCTCTGTCCTTCACTTTGTCCTCTTTCAAACGATAGTGTCTGGCCTCTCCCCAGTCTCAGGAATGCCCTGTCAGCAGATGCTGGGATGTGGAGCCTGTGAAGCCAATTAGCTGTAGGCAGCAGGGACCCATGCCCAGACCCAGCCGCCCCTCCCACCCCAGCCTGTCTCACAAATTAATGTCTTTGGTCATATAAAGTCTAGAGGCTCGGAGAGTGCGAATGAATTTCAGACAACTCAAAGCTCTTCCCTTCAGATGACAAGGCAAAATGACATTTCTTTTGTGAAACACAAATTTTGCTTCATTGCATAAAAACACTATTAGTGTCATGAAAAGAAGACACGATTAGGCCCATGCAGAGAGGGGATCTATTATCAAAGAAGGGACATTTGCCTGAGAGTCAGGAAATCTGGGTTCCGATCTTGGCTCTGGCAGCTGTGTGACCTTGAACACCTCCCCTCTGATAATAGCTACTGTTTCCTGGGTGCTTACCATATGCAGGGCAACATACAAGTATGAACTTCTGGACAGGTGTGCCTGACAGATATAAAGTAAGCGCTCAATAAATGTTAGCCATGGGTATTCCCACCTAATTTTGTCTCCTAGCAACCATACAAGATAGGTCTTATTGTTATTCCCATTATGCAGATGGGGAAACTGAAGGACAGAGAAGTAGCTGCTGTCATGCGTCATCCAGACCCCCTTCAGGAAGGGAGAACTTATTCCCCAGGCTGCTGGGAGTGCTGCCAGACAAGGGTGCTCAGCTGTCAGCTCTCTTTGGGGATCACCTCTGCTGAAGAAAACTGGCTCGCCCAGGATCGTGCTTCCTTCCGGGGCAGCCCACATCCAACGACAGATCGTACTGGGTAAAAAGGCCTGGCCTCCTGTATTCATTTCCTAAGGCTGCCAAAACAGATTACCACAAACTGGGCAGCTGAAAACAATAGAATGTATTCTTTCGCCATTCTGGAGGTGGAAGCCTGAAATCAGCAGGCTGGTTCCTTCTGGAGCCTCTGGGGAAGAGCCTGTTCCGTGCCTCTCTCCTGGTTTCTGGTGGCTGAGGCAATCCTTGGCTGCCTCTGCTTGTAGAGGCGTCACCCCAGTCTCTGCTCCTGTCTTCACACGGCCCACTCCCATGTGTGTCTGAGTGTGGAATCTCCCTCTCCTTTCTCCCATGAAGATGCTGGTCATTAGATTTGGCTCACCCTAAACACAGGCTGATCACACCCCAGGATGCTTAACTTAATTACATGCAAATAAAGTCACAGTCACAGGTACCGAGGGTTAGGACTTGGACATATATTTTGGGGGCCACTATTCAACCCACTAGACTTCCCAGTGCGGAACTGCTCTGCAGGGCTGACCAAGCTCCCGAGCTCCCCATGAGGTCACCTGAGGCCACTAGTGAGACCTCAGCACCTCCCAACCTCTCCTACGCCTAATCCTGCTTCCTTCTCTCCCCTTCTCCAGGCGTTTCCTTCAGCACCTCTCCGAAACAGTCGTCCTGCACACTAATCTGCCTCAGTGTCTGCAGCAATAGTACACAGTTTTGAGTCTCCCTAAACTTCATTCTGTGGCTCACACATTTTTTTAAATGCTTTTGAATTCTAATCCAATTCTGCATTATTCTGTGAGTACCTCTGACCAGATATTAACCAACTTCTCACAGTTTCCCAGACATCCTGAAGCCTCCTTGCCTTTGTGTGTCTAACCATCTCTTGCCAGTCCTCATCCCGCGCTTGGTCCAAAGCCTGGTTAAAACACCCTCCTTCATGGAGTCTTCCTGGCCTCACTCCTGGAAATGAGGTCCTTGGTCCTCTCTTAGTCACTTGACCCTGTCTGCTTAGATAAGAATTACGAATGCTTGTGGCAGCTCTGTAAGGTCCATGAGGGCGGGATTTGAGTCTGCCCCATGTCAGGTCTGCCTCTCCCCGCCCTCTATTGTGCTTCTCATGGTTCTGTCACTGCTCCTTTCTCTTCCCACTCTGTGCTCTTCACAAGCATCTAATCCATGGGCTTCAACCACCTTCTCTTTATGGAGGGGCCTCACCCTTGGTCTCCAGGCCTGACCTCTCTTGAAAGGGTCAGGCTTGCCTTTCCGACGGCCCACTGCACAGGTCCGCAAGATCTCCTACAGGACCCCCACAGGCACGAGTCCAAAGCTGAATGAGTATGTTGTCACCCCTCACACCTGTTCCCTTCTTGTAACCCAGTACCTCCCACCCTGGCTCCCAGACTTAAGCAGCACGATGTGGCAGAACAATCCCCATTGCTGAAGGAATGTCCAGTTCTTGCCCTTTTAAAGCTGCTGCCTCTGTGACACGTCAAATTAGGATCACTCCTGGGGACCTAGGGGCAGAGCCACGCCCCATGAAAGGGCTCTCCCGGGCAACCTGCCTCTTCTGCTCTCTTCTCTGAAGCAGTGATTTGGGGGCGGGGAGAGGGGCGTGGCCGGCAGGTGTTAGATGGAGCCCTCCTCAGGGGGCCAGGCTGGAAGCAGGAAGAATAGCAGCTAACAGTTGTTGTGACTTAGGACTATCTCGTCCTCACAACAAGCCTGCGATGAAGAGACTCTTCCTATTATTCCCACTTTTCAGGTGAGGAGGCTCAGAGCCATTAAGTAACTTGCCCAGTGTCACCCTGGAGTGAGTGGTGACCTGAGCCGTTGGCCTGAGGTGCCTCAGGGCTGGGCCAGTCCCTTGGGGCGAGGTAGTGGCTACAGAAGGTGGAATCTGAGATCTGGGAGAGAGTCAGCCAGAGAAGGGCTGTCACCTGGGCTGTGCCCCCATCTTCCTCTCTGTTTCCCCCCTTCTCTTTTATCCTTAGGAAAATATCTGTGAAAGGTACAGGCCATCATGGTGCGGCTGTCAAGACCAAAGGGGAGGCTCCACCCTGGGCCCAGTGTAAGGCTTCAGTGACCCGATTGAGGGTTCTTCCTGCTCCTTCCTCACCAGCCCCACAGGGAAAGCCAGGAACTGGCTGTCCGGAATTCACGCAGGCAGAGCAAATAGGGAGGCCACCCTGGGAAACTGAAAGAGCACTTGATTTAGAGAAAAACAGAGGCAGGTCTAACAGTGTGTGACCTTGAGAAGGCCACTACCATGCTGACCCTCAGTTTCCTCCCCTGAAATACACTGAAATAATGACACCTACCTCACAGGGCACATATGAGAGGCAAGTGAGACCACAGATGCGAAGTCATGTCCTAAACAATACTTCGCTCTGTGGGCGCCAGGCCTTATGATCACACATGGAAGGGAAGAGGTGCGCAGGCGTTGGGGTGGGCTCCCCAACTCCTCCCTTCTCTTCTCTCCATCTGTCCCTTTTCTCCTTTCACTTCATTCATTCGTTCAGTTATCAAAATATTACTGAGTGCCCATTATGTGGCTGGCATTGTTCTAGGCCACTGGAGACATAGAAACAAACAAAACAAATAAAAATTCCTGCCCTCATGTTCCAGTGGGGAAGTTAGACACTAACGACAGGAAAATATACAATTCTATGGAGAAAATAAAGCAGCTAAGGGGGCTTATTTCGTATTCATTGGCATCCCTGATAAGGTGATGTTTGAATAGATACTTGCAGGAAATGAGGAACCAGTCCCCTGATGCATGGGGAAAGAATATTCCAGGCAGGGCGCAGCCCAGCCGTGAGCAGGCTGGTAGGTGGGAGCACTCTCAATGTGTTACAGCAACAGCAAGGTGGCTCATGTGGCCCGAGTGCCATTGTCAGATACCCAGGGTGGGGTCATGCGGAGTCTTTAAGGTCATCACACCAACTTTAGCTTTTATTCTGAGTGAGATGGGAGCCACTGGAGAGCTTAAGGCAGAGAAATGACTGACTGACTGACGGTGTCTTTAAAAACTCACACTGACCACTGTGTTCAGACTCCACTGCAGCGTGGGTGAGGGCAGAAGCAGGGGCCCAGATAGCAGGCCGCTGCAACAATGCGGGCAACAGAGCACAGGCAAACATTTGACCACCAAATCCCATTTTCCTCAGATTTCTGTTTTAAGACGCACATTTTCAGAGATGCTGACCAGGTCTGACTCCCTCATTTTAGAAACAGGAACACTCAAGTCCCAAGAAGTTAAGTGACTTGGCCAAGAATGTTCAGTCTGCTAATAGCACAGCATGAACGCTGCTGCCAACAGCACCACCAACATAGCCTGATTCCTAGCCCAGGAGCCAGGACTCTCCTCAGAGCACTTTTGTTGCAGCTGAAAGCGGATCTGGAGTTCAGGGGTGAGGTCTGAGCTGGAGATGTGAGTTTGGGGGTCATCATGCATCAGTGGTATTTAAAACTACAAGGCTGGGTGAAGTCACCAAGGGAGTGAGCATAGATGGAAAAAGAGCTTCAAGTAAAGCACCCTGGGCATTTCAGTGATCAGTGATTGGGAAGATGAGAAGGAACCTGCACAGGAGACTAAGAGGAAGTGGTCATTGAGGGCATCCAGAAAGAGTGGTATTCCAGGAACCAAGAAAAGACATGCTTCAAGAAAGAGAGAGTAATCGACTATGCCGAATGCTGCCGAGAGGTCAAGAAAAGGTAGAACTGAGAATTGACTGTTGAATGTAGCAAGAGGGAGGCCATTGGTGACCTTGACAAAAGCTTTTTCAGGAGAATGTTGGGAGCAAACACTTGAGATTGGAGTGACTCAAGAGAAAATGGGAGGAGAGACGTTGAAGACAGTGAGACAGACAACTCTTCCAAGTTAGGCTCCCTTACTGCCCCTTAGCTGTTCAGAGTCCATCCAGGCCTACATCCTATCCTTGTCCTCCTCCTCCATTTTCCACTTCCTCTCTTCCTTCTTTCTGTGCCCCAAAACTTGCCTATTCCATCTCCCATTCCCTTAAGCCCTACTTTCCTTCAGGAAAAAGCCATCTAATAAACTGATATGCACTGAGAGTTTAATTAATAAGAATTTATTGATATTTTGCTGCCTTCAGGATTATGTGTATTTTAACAAACAACTCTGTCAGAAAAACAGGGTTTCTTCCCCAAAGGAAATCATGGCAGCCATAGATGGGAGGAAGGAAAGAGGCTGAGCCAGGGACACCATATGGTCCCCCATCCATCACTATCCAATACCTACTTTTGACCTGCACAGTTTGAAAAGCTGAAATTTTCCATTTTGAAATAAACTTTCAAGCTGAAGAAGTGACACAGAACAGTGATGGCATTGCCTGGCCCCATGCTACTCAAGGGAGGTGCCAAGACACACTGAGTCTTCACCAGTTGTGAGGCATTCTGAGGACTGTGTTACTATAATAAAATTCCAAAGTACAAATGGTTTCCTTTGGTCCATAAATTATCTGGGGGATCCCCATATTAAGAAGGCTCTCCATGTGTTCTCTTCAGAGAGGGTAAAGGCAAAGTGGAGTTACAACTTATGGGCTGAGAACTGCACATAACCCACTGCTTGTCATATCCATGCTGGGCCCCAGTGGCCATTATCCAGACTTCATTTCTAGATAAGACTGAGACATGGAAAGTTTGAAGAGCACTGCTGGTCACACCCCTGGTCAGTAAATTAAACCATTATTCGTATCGATTTAAAAGTCATACACAAGAGGCAATCTAAGAAGAGATCACTAGTAACAAGACTATCAAAACAGGAGACTTTACCAGAGTAAAGCAAGGAAAACGTTCTGCTCCATCCCAAATTTGACTTCTTCCTTGAAGGTACTGAATGTGGGGATTGCTCAGAAGCACCTGAGGAAGGAAGAGATGACCTGCCAAGGATGGCAGAGCCAGAAGACGCAGGAAGCTCTAAGGATGGAGCTTTCAACCAAATCCTCCTTGTTCTCAGAGACAGAGAGAGAGATAATGAACTGAGAGGGGCAAGATTTAGCTTGCATCTTGCTCTAGTCACAGACACTTCATTAACTTCTTAATTCAAATGGAATTTAAGAATTCTCTAAGAAGATTTGCTTCTCTCAAGTTCATTAGCTTCACGGAAGCCATTAGACTTCCTGGAATTTTTATTAATGATGCTAATTATCCAGCAATAATATGCAAGACCCCTGTTACCTTCAGAGGGTAGTAGAAGACTGAGACGTCACAGAAGAACAGGTGAGAAGTTGTGGTTGGGCCGTGGAAGTCAAACTGCTGAAGAATGGGGCCGGTCCCATGGCTGAGTGGTTAAGTTTACACGCTCTGCTTTGGAGGCCCAGGGTTTCACCAGTTCGGATCCTGGGCATGGACGTGGCACTGCTCATCAAGCCATGCTGAGGCGGCATCCCATATGCCACAACTAGAAGGACCCACAACTAAAAATATACAACTATGTACCAGGGGGCTTTGGGAAGAAAAAGGAAAAATAAAATCTTTAAAAAAAAAACCTGCTAAGACTAAAGGACGAGTGTTGTAAACGTGGGGACATTCAAAACAGACCAAGTGGGGCAGTGAAAAAGAAAAATAGGATCACACTTATCAATAATGGGCATCACATTATCTGTTTTGGGTTTTTTTTTTTCCTTTGGCTGAGGAAGATTTGCCCTGAGCTAACATCTGTGGCCAATCTTCCTCTATTTTGTATGTGAGCTGCCACCACAGCGTGGCCACTGATGAGTAGTGTAGGTCTGCACCCAGGAACTGAACCTGGACCACCAAAGCGGAGCACACCAAATGTAATCAGTAGGCCGCTGGGGCTGGCCCACGTTATCCATTTTTATCTCAAGAAAATTGTAATAACTGAACCTAGTTGCAATAGTTAAGACTACCTAAGGAAATTAAACATTTCTATAGTTTTAAAATTAGAAAATTGATTTCTGGCACTTATTTTTAAAAAATGTGTTAAGGAATTAATTATAAGTAGCCTACATTAAGCAAAGAGCACTGGGCTGGGGCAGAAAGAGTTGGCTCTGTCAGAACTGTCACTGCACAAAATTCGGGTTCTCTGCCCTACACACATAAATGAGCCAATCAATTACGGCATCAGCCTTTGGGAAGAGAGATCAGTTTTATTCTGTAAGATCGATCTTCAGGGAATCAGAGGGTGTGTGCCCTCAGATCTGTCTCCCTGATTCAGGTTTGGGGGCAAAATTTAAGAGGTTAGGGAGAACAGGCTGGCACATGGAAACACAGACGAGACAGGATTTGACTGGTGGGCTTCAAGCATTTATGGTGAGGTTTTAGACACTTGTGACCGGGTTCTAAGCTTTTATGATGAGGCGGGGAAGGAATTTGAACACCAGATCTTCCTGAACGAGGGGCCCCTCGCTTCTGGTAAGAGTCTGGCTTTCGAGTTCTGGTCATGCCCCGGT